ATATATGCATGTGTATATAGTTTTCTCGGATTTCAAAATGATGTCAAAAGTTGTCCGAACAATATTAAAGAAATAAGAAATAAGATCTCATATCAAGATTTATTAATCGCAATCCACTCACAAATATATCCAATACAAACCACACAACTCAGCACTAGATGATTAATACCTTTGCAAGTTTGCCCTGACTTTCTCTACGCTACTGAAGTCCATTATATTCATTTGCTTCGGTGTATGTGCACCTGCGTCTTCGCCAGCGTGGGAAGGTGCATGAGATCTTTGTTGTGGTACAGTAGTGCCGTCGAGTTCATTCAAAGTAGACTCGGTGTGATATTCGGTGGTATGTTCCCGGTGCACCATACTTGCTAAAACCACATTCACTGTCGGATGAGAGCTACACACTTCAATTTGCCAGATTGATGTTTTGTCGTCACTTGATATTTACATACAAATTTAGAAGTCTCTCTCGCTTTCTATACCGTTGAATAGCTGATTTATTATAGCGTCACTGTATGCAGTAGTGATGATATGTATTATAAATTTTGTACACATAAACTATTTATATTTACTCTACTCGTCTGTACTCTCTCTGACCCTCTCTGTCTCTTGGTCACTTGGTGTCATCAATTTCAAATTTGGTACTCGCATTCTAATGGCTGACCTCGCATACGTGACGCATGAAAATAATTACATTTTACGTTTATTTCGGTTTGGTCCTGTTTAAATTCAATATGGGTTCCCACTTCAGGTTTTTAGGTTGAAAACTTCAGTTATATTTCCAAATAAAGCCTAATTATAATTCTAATGGGTTTAATTTAGACAGCTCTCGCCCACTTTTAAATGACTACACTATATACGTTTACGTTCAACTCAACTCACAAGTGGAATGACACTTCCGTGTCATCAATTTTTAAATACACATACTTTCCTTTCCGACACTGCAGCGACACCTCTGAAAAAATGTGGAAATAATAGAGTGGTATTTAGTTACTATGTGAACTATACGTAGAAGAAACTACTGAGAGTTACAGTAGTACAGTACACATATTCGTCCCAGTTTGTATAGTATAAGACATGCATCTAACTTGGCTATAGTGGGGGTTTGCGCTTACGCAGATAACGTATGTGCGGCTGGCGGGTGTTTTATGCTTGCACATCCATAACTTACATACATCATGACACCCCGACAGTAACACTTCAAATTGTAAAATTATTATAGACTGTCGTAGTACTCTAGTGTGTAAGTATTTAAACTGCGCAGTAGCTAAAAGCTGCGTAATTAGTCTACATTGTATATGGTTTTACTATGAAAGCTGTAGCATTATAAACTATAATTAACAACATAATTGTACGACTGTCCCATCATGCCTCACGACACCCCACGGTCGGATGTGGCCTACACGTCCGTGAGCTCAAATACAGATAGTGCAACAGACTTTAGTAGGAATAACAGCAGATCCAATGACGCAGAACAAAATCCAAACAGGCTTAGTACTACTAGGTCATCTGGGTTACGCTCACGGACTAATCCGAATACCATGCGACTAAGGAGACGTCCAAGTGAAGAATCGCTCAATGCGTATGAAGAGGAGTTTGATGGGGGCAGGAGGGATTCATTCGATACAGAGGTCGTTGATGGGGTAAGAGCTCAATTCTATAAATAGTTCTAGATAATGGTGGAAAGTAGTTTCACATTGAAAATAGTTACAGATTGATTCAATTGGGACGTACTCCGGATATATGCATATTCTGCAGATATTGTTATTTGATCCATGCTTGTACGTAAATGCTCACAC